ACAGCGATGGATGGGGATTGAAAGCAAACAAAAAATAACACCGATATCCATAAATTCGTAATCGAATCTCTGAGGGCTCCCGAGGCATTGCGAAGCGCAGGTGACAAAGCGTGTAATTTATGCAAAGCCAATCGAATCAATAACAATAGCCCCCCCGACCCCCCCTCCATGTGAAGACATCAAGTGTCTGCCCCGCTCGCTTTATTGTGCCTCCGATGTGGCAACACACAAAATCCCCCAAAGCAGACAAAAATTAATAACGAAACGATAATGGGCATTGTTTAACTGGAAAGAAAATGCAACTGCAACTGCAACTGCAAGTGCATCTTGCAACGGCAGTTGTAGCGGCATCTGCCACAGCCAAGGCGCCTCTTTCCCATAATGATAATTGTATATTTGTGACGACTGCCAAGACGAGTCATCCTCCCCGGACATTGTCATTGAACAATCATCATCATCGTACGAGTCTCTACCGTCTGGCAGTGACATTGTCTTTGCACTGGACAGGGGCAGGGGCACGGGCAGCGGCAGGGGCAGAGGCAGAGGCAGAGGAGATAGATATCTCATATTCCACATTCCCCGAATTATTCCCTAAAGCTTGATTCTTCTGCCCAATAGATTCCTCTCGGAGCTGCGCAATGTCTGAGAGACAGAAAATCGCCTGACTTTTTTGTTCAACTTAATTGTGGAGGCATTTTGTTGTTTTTTACAGCGAAATATATATATTTATTTTGTGGCACATCTGTAAGCTGAAATATGGCTCTAAAACGAACAGAAAGTATCGAATTGTATTCAGTTGAAACGTTGTTGTCGAGGCACAAAACGCATTACGTGAGAATTCCTTTACTTTGAAAGTTTCATCTGCTGAAACACTTTATTATTATTTACTATAATTATGAAATAATAATCGTTCAATTTCGTTTGTTTTCTGCAGGGTTTCGAAGAGCCTTGGTCATTAAGATAAATGTACTATTTTTTTTTAGCAGTTTATATTTATAGATTAAATGGGGCATATTTCTTTTGGTTTGCCGCAGAAAAATATTTAATTTAAATATGAAAATATTTTCAAATTAAATATGGAAATATCTTTCAAAATTTAAATGGAATATGAGGGCATATTCCAGTTAAATATTAAATAAATAAATTAAATATGAAATATATATCCTTATTCCCATTAAAATATGAAAAATACTACCTATAATTTTATAAAACATATTTATTTTGAATATATTATATTTATCTTCCCATTAAAAAAAGGAAAACTTATTTAATTACAGTTTGAAAATATATTTTAATTTTTTGTATATATGTAAATGCTACAAAATTTTAAGTGAAAATATATTATTTTTTAGTGAAATATTCCAATTTAATATATTTTATTCAATTACCTAATGGCATAAATATTAAATGATGCTCTGTGCATACGCATCGAAAAGAGGGAACCACTTTTGGGGTCTGAGGGGACTGCCTATCGAGTTTTGCATTTCCTGTTTATGGTCTCCCAATAGCGATACCAATACCAATACCAATACCAATACCAATACCAATACCAATACCCTTCGGTGCATATCTGGCATGGCATTGTATTCTTGGTCTTAATAAAGCCAATGCTGGCCGGGGGAGGGGGGACTCATAAATTTGAAATTTCTGGCTTTTGTTGTGTTTTGTGGCTGACACAATTCCGAGGCATTTCGCAGGCATTTCATTTGGCTAAACAATTTTCGCATCCCCCCAAGCACCGCAAGCACCCCAGTCCCCCCCAACCCCCCAACCCCCCATTCCATTCCCATTGTGCGTTCAATAAACTAAACTATTGTTAATGTTAATGGTATTGTTGTTGTTGTTGTTTCTGCATTTGCAATCATTGAATTTTTTGCAATTTTAAGTTGTTTTTTTTTTTTGTGTATGTGTGTGTGTGCGTGTTTGTGTGTGGCCATTGCATTCGGGTCAACGGGTGAAATATTTATGGAAGGCAGGGCCTTGGGGGTCTGCCGGCCACAGGCTGCAGTCCCCATTGGAAGGTCAAAAGGCGACTGCGACACGATCGGACACGATCTTCGAAAGTCCCACGGATATTCAAAGCCAAGTTCAAAGTCAGTCAGTCCAAAGCCAAAGCGAGAGATGAAACAAGGAAGTCAGCCAGCCCCCAGACGCAGCAAACACAAATGCCAGATCAACAACTGTAAACACTCGTGGATGGGGCACGGCACAGCTGTTGAGTGGCATTCCCCCTCCCGCTCCCCCGGAACCGCTCTTGAAGCTAAGGCTTCCATCCTCGCCGCCGGCAAATCCACTTGACTCCGCAGATCGTTCCATCGCTCCATCGCTCCATCGTTCATCATTCACCCTTCGCACGCGTTATGTTTAATGTTTTTTTTTTTTATTGTTTAAATATTTAAGTACTCCCCCCACCCCCCGAACGGGTAATCTGTTTTCTGGCCAGGCATTGACATTGGCCTAAATTTAATAAAGTTTTTTTTCCTTCAATTTGTTGGAGGCTTAGAATTAGACGATGCTGCCCCTGCCGCTGATGGGATGACAAATCTGTCTGTTCAGCAGAAAGCTTGATGATTTCATAGCAATTCTCTCGCTCTCCCACTCCCACTCCCACTCTCCCTCTCTCTCACTCTTTTGTTACTTGAATTTGGAATTTCATTAATTGGTTTTTACTAGCTGATTTTGGCCAGAAAAAGCACAATATGAGGAAGTCGTTGTGCCCCCACGAGCAGGCACGCTTCCACCAATAAACGCTTCCACAGAGGCGGTACATGTATGTGCATCTCCCCGCTTCGCACCATTTTTACTTAAACAATAACAATAATAATAACAATAACAATAACAGCATAAATAAGCGCAGGCTATACCTATTTAATGTTGCGACTGGGGGATGCCCATTGAGCCCATTGAATCGCCAGTAAAATAATCAGAATAAAATATAAGGAAATAAATAAAATATCAAAGATATAAAAAAAATAATAATTAATGAATTAAAAAATACAGAAATAATTTTAAAACAAAAAAAATATTAATAATAATTTTAAAAAAATTATAAATGCATTTGCAATATATAAAAATATGGAAAATAAAAATTAAATTAAAATATAGGTGTTTTAAGAAAAAAAAGTTCCCCAATTTTAAATCACAAAAAATAAATAAGAAATAAATTTGTTAGCTGTTTTTTTTGTCAACAAATTATAATAAGCATTAATTAATTAATTAATTCCATGCAAGTTTGTTTCTGATATAATATAATATATTCCCACTCACAAAGAAAGAAGAAAATAGATCTGTGTTTCCCTGTTCTAGTTTTAATATTCATCAGTTTCGGATGTTTTTTTTTTATCTTTTATGAGCAAAATCTTAGTAAAAAGATCATCACGAGTATTCCACATTGGTTACCGCCATTGTACACCCAAAATGTATATACCCCGATGCACGATTCTGGACAATAACAGGGTGTCTATCTAAAACAACAGTAGCGTAGAGCCGACTCGACTCAGAGCCTATGGAGCAGCTGATTCAGCGTCTCTCTGTTGATTCTACTTAGCGTGTGGCCCCCATGCCCGTTCGTCCAGTCATAAACTGGTTTAACGACTTGAAAGACTATAGAAGTCGTCTAAAGACAGAGACAGAGAGACAGAGAGACAGAGAGGTGTGTGCTACCGTAGAGACAGCGGGGGGCGGGTGTGCGGCAGGTAGCAGCTGGCCCTGCCATTGCCTTTGCCTTGTCCCATGTCCCGGGTCTCATGTCCATTTTCATTTCCATTCGCATTTCCATTTCAGATACAGAGACAGATACAGATGCAGAGATACAATAAGAAACTGCCAATCAGGCAATTGAGGCTGCACTTGGACTTGAAATTCGTTTGATACGCAGTCCCCTACCGTGAGTCAGAGATTGCCCCTCCACCCGGCCATTCATCCATCCCTTCATCCATCCATCGGTAGATCGATAGCAATAGAGTCGTCCCCGCTGCCGCTACAAGTACTTGCTGTCGTACTATTCCCGATAAGATAATGGCAACAGCGACCAATAAAAGATAACTACTGCATTAGTCAGAGTCTCTCCAGACAAAGAGAGAGGCAAAGATACAGTAAACAATACATTGAAGCATCAGAATCAGTGCATGGCAGTTGGCAAAGTGTAAATGATTTAATATACGAGCCACAGGCACCCAGGCACCCAGGCACCCAGGCACACACGCACACAGCCGCAGAGGCACACACAGCAATTGCCAATCCAGTTAAGAAAGGCAGCTAACTGTAAAGAAAACTCCGTGCCGCTCGTAATGCCAGCTGTAGATAAAATTTAATCGGCTATGATTGTTCATTGGGATCGTTCCATATGTGGATGTCGATGTGGGTATGGGTATGGTTATGGGGGGGATTAGCTCCATTTTAGTGGCAAGTGGCAAGAGCAAATCGATCATTTAACACCCAGAGAGACGCTGGCTGGCTGGCTGGCTGGCTGGCTTTGGCTTTGACGCGGGGCCATCTGCATGCTCGGCTAAATATCCAAGTGCTCGCTCGGTCGGCTATTACGAGCAGCTGTAAAGCTGCAATCGGCACTGGGGAGGGGAGTCGAGTCGAGTCGAGTCGTCCCCTTCTCAATGAATGGTGGAGCAGCAAGCACCTGGAGCAAGGACCTGCAGGAGCAGCAGCAGCACCCATTCCGTTGTTGTTTGACTCTTGCTTTATTGATTTTTAGCAGGCAGAGAGACAGGTTCAAACACGCGCACAGGCACGCACGCACAAACACGCTCGAAACGGGGGAAAACACACCCTTGGCTGTATCTGTGTCTGCCTTTGTATCTGTATCCCTGTATCCCTTGGATACCAAGACAGAAACAGCTACAGCTAATTAGGTAAAAGGCGGCTCGGCTCGGTTTCAAAATCAGCAACGAACCCGAGGTGATTCCTTATTTTGGGAGGCACAAGGATGTTATTAGGGGACAAGTTACATCACGTTCAGATTCGTTTCATTTTAATATGGAACTCACTTTGTGGCTCTCGGGACATCAGCAGTATATGGGCTGTGTTCGTGTCTAAACAATATTGCACACAGGGCGCGCGGTGCGCTCAACGACACTATCAAACACAAGAGCACGCAAAAAACACACGGCAAAAAAAAACACACACGCAACGGCGCAGCTCTACCTTGCTGCGGCACGAACGGTTTTAAGGCGACTCACTCGCGTAACGGGCGGTTCTGTTGCAAGCGGCGGATTAGCGCCATCTGTTGTCTGTTGCCCGTGCTGTGGTATAACAATATTAGGTAGGGGCCATTCAGCTAGGCTGCCTCTCTTTTTGGAACGAACTTGGTTTCAGAGCCAACGAATTTGGTTTTTAAGTCCATAACTTAGCTAAAAATAGTGTAAATACACAGATACAGGAACAAACGAATGGGATGCGGGCAGCATATGTTTATACATAGTTGTGAAACCTATTAGACCCCACCTAACATACTTATACCTTTTGGACGGCAGTTGCTGCGCACTGCAATCGATAGTTAAGTAGTGCTGCAAGTCGCCTTTACGATAGTGGACAATTGTATCGATAGTTCAATACCATCACGAAATATGATATCGTCTTCTGTATATTATATTTTATCCTAGCACTCAGATTAGCAATATACTAGAGAACACAGGCTATAGAAACTTCCATTGGCAGGTTTTTTTAATATTCGCTCTCTCTTCATCATTTATTCCACTGGATTTTATTCAAAAACTTGTCACTTTCAAACAATTCAAATTTGGCGCGCAACTATGCAAGGACACAGTGCTACATACCCTTGGGAAAATGATAATACAGATTTCAAGATATGTTTATCACCCCTGGATCCACTGAATGTAGAAAATAGTCAATCTCTGTTGTAAAGACATCTTAACGAAATTTTGCAGTTTATTCTTACAGAGACCAAGAATGGGAATCGGTATAGAGATATATGTATATGCAGGAAACTAATAATATGCATAAATAGGTGAAAAACATGTCAATATGAGAAATTAATAGTAATAGCGAGTAATACCAAACCGAATATCCAAATTGAGGAATTTGATTTCTGATCATTGAAAGGAAAAGATTAGCCAATTGTCGGCCACGAAAATTTGAAGAGATATGAGATATATATAGAAAAATAATATGAGAAAGAATAGGATGCATCTACAAGAAGAATAGACAAACAGAAATATTTTCCGCGGCTTAACTCAAGTTGCTCACTTGTTTAAAAAGAGGGGGCTAAGTTTGCTTTTTCATCGGTATATTTTGAAATAGAGGTCTATTTCGGTATATTTCTGAGGGTCAGACCGTATAATTCTTTCACTGGTCACACTGATGAGGGCGGCAAAGAGGGAATTATTGAACAAATGAATATTGAATAATTGAATAAATAAATCAACTTGATAATTAAGTCAATTATGACTGGCATTTTTTTTTTTGATGCTAATCCAATTCGATAGCACACCGGGTGAAGTGACGTCACACACCTGAGAGATGCGATGCTCCGGCCCGCCATCCGTCCACGCCAGCAGAAGAACGAACAACAACAAAAACAAACAAAGCAGAACCGGCAAAAGCCAGTGCAAGATTGTTTCTGTTTCTGCTGTTGTGGCACAGCACAGCACAGAAATACATATTCTGGCATTATTAAATTGGTATTTTGGCATTGGCGCAAGCGAAAACATCCACACAAACACACAACTACAGGGCCAGCGAGACGAATAGAGGAGTGGCACAGACACAGCCACAGCCACAGTCCGCACACTTTCCTGGCACTTACTCATGCCACTGTAGCAAAATATTCTTGTGGCTTTCGGCATTGTTATTAGTACCGCAGCGACCCAGAGGCAACGACTGACGTGTCTGGCTGCCACTCACCCATTATCATCATAGATAATAAATGATGTCTGAAGATGCCAAGAGTGAGTACAGGGCAATGCAAATAATCATAAAAGTATAAGCGAATGCAAGCACTTTTTCTTCTGCTGTTCTGTTGGCCAGGTCCAGGACCACGCACCCGTAACATCATTGAAAACCAATTGTTTCGCCGCCAGCGCAGTCTGAAGCTTGAGGCCCTGCAAAGGCAGCGCACCCTTCAGGGAGATGACGACACCGACGTGGACGAACCCTTCGACAAGGTCAGTGGTGGGATGAGCATGAGCCTGAGAATTCCTAATGAAAAAAGGCTCTCTCTCTCTCTCTTACAGACGCAAATAGTCATAATATTCACGGAGAAGGCCAAGCTGCGCCACTGCCAGGATGTGGAGAAGATCATCAAGGAATTTGGCATACAGACCACTCTGGAAACTGTAGGGTGTGTGCCAGTGTGCCTCCCTATACATTATAGTACTTTGTTGGTCATTGACATTTCTTTTCTCTAGAAAAACCGAAAAGTATCTGTATTTGTCGGCCAGTTTGGACACCTTGTTGCGGCTGGCCGATGTGGCCGAGCTGGAGAAGAAGACCACCACGGGCAGCATGCAAAAGTTCAACAATGGGTGCATTTCCGACTTCCTGCTGCCCGGCATGGGCAAGGATCAAATACTGCGCTACTGTGAGATCCCCGTTCTGATCAAGGATGTGATCAAGCCAGCGATCAAGTCCTACATACAGAAGGGCTACATCGAGGACATGTTTCCCCTGCACGATATTGTGAGTGACTTCCGTGATCTGCAGGTCAGAGCATTTGTTGACTCTCCTGCTGGCTCTGTTCCTCCTGCAGCTCTATCTGGATCGCTTCAACTGGAATCTAAAGCGCTCCCATCTACCCATAGAGGACATCCGCAACTATTTTGGCTCCAGCATTGGCCTCTACTTCGGTTTCATTGAGTTCTACACGAAGGCCCTGATCTTTCCCGCTGTCTTTGGCATACTGCAGTACCTATTCGACCTGAATCTCTCGATTGTGTGCAGTTTCTATGTGGTCTGGACAACTGTGAGTCCCTTCAGGACTATGTATAAGCATAGCCTTAAAGCTATTCCGTTGCAGATCTTCCTGGAGCTGTGGAAGCGCAAATGTGCTGGCTACTCGTACCGATGGGGCACCATCGAGATGAGCAGCCTGGACAAGCCGCGCTCCGCCTACCAGGGCCAGCTAAAGCCCGATCCGATCACCGGCAAAATGACACTGCATTACCCGATGCGCTACACGTACCTGCAAATGTACTGCATTTCGTATCCGGTGGTGCTCGTCTGTGTGGTGGCGGCCGGCTGGTTCGCCCTCTACCAGTTCCAGATCGAGGCCGAGGTGCTGGCCGATTTTGGCGCAGACTCGTGGCTGCTGTACGTGCCGGTCATTGTGCAGTCCATTCTGATAGCCATCTTCTCGTGGGCGTACGAGAAGTTGGCCACATTCCTCACAAAGCTGGAGAACCATCGCACCCGCTCGCAGTACGACCGGCATCGGGTCAACAAGCTGATGCTCTTCGAGATCGTCAACAACTTCTTCTCCCAGTTCTACATCGCCTTCGTCCTGCAGGACCTCAAGCAACTGAAGTACCAGCTGATGATGCAGCTACTCATATTCCAGCTGCTGTGCATTGCCCAGGAGATCGGCATCCCGCTGATGGCTGTGCTCCGGCAGAAGTATGCCAAGTTTCGCCATCGCGACACCGTGACCGAGGAGGAGAAGCTGGACAATATCAGCGATCAGCCCCGGTACGAGCAGTCGTTCTACGAGTCCGGCCTGGATGCCTACCATTCCACATACGAGGACTACCTGCAGGTGTGCATACAGTTCGGGTTCGTTGTACTCTTTGCCGCCGTGGCCCCCTTCGCCGCCATCGGGGCGCTCATCAACAACGTGTTTGCCGTCCACATCGACATGTTCAAGCTTTGCAACATCTTCAAGCGTCCGTTCGCCCGCAGGGCCAAGAACATTGGCGCCTGGCAGCTGGCCTTCGAGCTGCTGTCCGTCATGTCGCTTCTGAGCAACTGCGGTCTGCTCTTCCTCCAGCCGAATGTCAAGTGAGTGAGCGGGCGAAAGCGAGGCTTTCGTTTTAAGTCCTAAAATACAATTACTTCTTCCTTCCGCAGAGAATTCTTCTCGCACTGGCTGCCCACGGTGCCGGAGCTGTCGTTTGTCATCTTTGAGCATCTGCTGCTGGGCCTCAAGTTCGTCATCCACAAGGTTATCCACGAGCGTCCGCGCTGGGTGCGAATTGGTCTGCTGAAAGCGGACTTTGAGACCAGCCAGGCCCTCAAGCAACTCAAGTGAGTGCATCCCTGCCGTGGCATCCCTGCCCTTCCTCCATTCATTGTTTCCATTTGCTTGCAGAAAATTCAAGGCGGAGACTAATAAGATGTCCTAGGATCCACTCTCCCACTCCTCTAATCTGCAATCTCCAAACCCCAATCTCCAGTTCCAGTTGTTGGTGCTATTAGAACCAGGTCCATTTTAAAAGTTATTATATTTATACGTTTTATGCGATTTTAATGTGAAAACTCTAACCGAAGGAAAAGTGTGCCTTAGAAAATATAAATGCTTTAATCTCAAACCCCCATATCAGATTCTAGCGCCCTTTAGCGCGCTCCCCTAAAGTGCTTGAAGGCCAGAAAGGCATCGATTGCATGCAGCAGTCCCGCCGCATAGCCCATGTACTGAAACAAGCAAACAGGAATCAAGATTGGAAGGCATTTAACGCTTTTAGATCCACACTCACATAGCAGGCGGTCATGGCCGGATATGCCCAGAAGCCGGGACGCACCAAGAACTGCGGATGCAGCCACACAACGCACGCGAATCCCATGTAGCTGGAGGAGCTGAAGTACATGCAGGCTGCAAGGCCATTGAACAGGGTCTCCTGAAAAAAAAACATCAAAGCATCTGCAAAGCTTGAGGGGGGAGGGAGGATCTAGAGGGAGAACTACTCACAAACAGTGATTGTCGAATGAGGCCGTATGACTTCTCCGAGAATCCATAGCACAGGAGCAGTATGCCCGTCGTGGTGAAGCAGTGTCCTGTGGTGGCCAGAAAGCTGGTGAGCGCCTGGCCAATGGAATCGGCATAGGGCACACCATAGCGTATCAGGAGGCCCTCGCAGAGCATGGCCAGGCCCAGTTGCATCAGCTTGAGCAGACCCACCCGCGACAGCACAAAGCCAAAGTTGATGCACGTACAGACGCGACAGCAGCAGATCCTGATGCCCAGCGGCTGACTCATGCCACGCATTCCAAACGAAGACATTGTGTACGTAGGTGCTGTGCTGCTCCTTTGCCGCGAGCCTATTTCCAACTGTTCTCCGAACCGAACAGAACAGAACAGACTCTACCACACGACAATGCCACAAGGGGTGAGTCTGCGCCTAGGCCTGGGGTCGTCTATAATTAGACACATCTGGCGGCAGCCGCTCTCCTGCATGCCCCAAGCGGCGCAAGCGCACAGTGGTACCAGTAGTGCCTATGCGTCTGCGCTGCATGTCTGCGTCTGCTTCTGCATCTCTTTGAGAGCTCTGTTCGAACCACTGTGTGTATGAAATCGCAGTAGGCGCAATCCTGGCATCGGTCCGGTCAGGTCAGGTGTGTGGGTCCGAGTGATTCGAGGGAATGCGCTCAGTCAGTTGTCAGTCTGTTATCATCTCGTTGACTATTTAGTCACAGCAAAATTCTCGGCCTAAATCCCCAAAATTCAAAATTTAATATACACGTTATTTCTGTTGCAAATTGTTAGTACTCCGGTAGCACCATGTGCCTGCCTTTCATCAGCAAACCGTTCCGGCGCAACAAGCGCAACAGGAACAGAGGTCCCACACCAGTGCCCAGTGTGGCCGGCGTGGAGGGAGCTCCGGTAGGACAGGTCGCAGAGGTGCCGACCGATGACAAGGTGGCAGAACAGGTGCCACCCATACCAGCAGCGGCACCAGAACCAGCACCAGAGATGCCGACGACGACGACGTCGGCGGCGGCGGCGGCGGCCCTCACACAGGTAGTGCATACCGCGCAGTCGCCCGCCGCCATGGCCATAGCGTTGGCAGCCAGCTTTGCAGCCACCGGTCGACCCTCCAAGACCCTGTCGACGATCACCAGCGTGAACAGCATGATGGCCAACAGTTTCGCAACCACGCTGCAGGTGCAGGAGCCCCCTAACGCCGCGCCCGTCACCAGTGCTGTTGCTCCAGTAGACGGCGAAGTTCCCACAACAGCTAGTACCGCCTCCGCTTCTGGGCGCAAGAAGACCTGGATGGAGTGGTTTGGCATGAGCAAGAAGAAATCCAGCATTGATTCGCTATAAGAGAAGAGGCGGAGGCGACTGGGTGGGACGACTTGCAGCAGAGGCAGGAACAGAACGCAACGGACATTAACGTTTATAAAACTTTTGGCTTGCACATTTTTTAAAGAAAATAAACACCGCACCCCCTCCCCAACAAACAGTGCTTGGTGTTGCTTTTTTTCTCTCTCTTTGTGTGCAGATATTCTCGTTTGGCAGTTCAAGCAGTCAATCCAATGGAAATTCGTCAAGCAGTCAAAGCAGTCCATGCAACGGTGCCTGGCGCCACGCTGGACACTAGACTTAAAGTATTTCTGGCATAGAATTTATTTATGTGGTTTGCACGCTACTCTATTCTGTTGTGCTCCATTCTATTCCATCCCATCCCATCTCCATCGCTCGGAATGTGCATACTCGAAATCTTCTGCTCTCAGATCGTGCCGTGTGTGGAGGCGGGGTACAAACGTCTCGGCATGGCATCGCCAGCGATTAGTGTAATTTATCAGCCGCAACGACAATTTATATTGCTTGGCAGGATGGGGTGGGGGGATGGGGATGCTTTTTGACAATACAATTAATGTTTGCCGTTATCACAAGTAATTGTTGCCGCCTGCTGCCCGCCACTACCACTACGTAACACTGCTTACGTCAGTGATTACTCGTATGCAAACACACAGAAACACACACACCCTCTCCAGAGGGAGAGAGATAGAAGTGTTGTAACAATCGGGGAAGCGTTGCATTTGCATAAATAGTTTTGGTCGTAGCCCGTAACATCTGCAATTAGGAATTTGCCAATTCCGTCACGATCTGTGTGCACCTGCACGTCCGTCCAGCAACAGCCACGGGGCAGTATCGTATCAGCAGTACGAGGGGATAGAGGATGCTGGGGGATTACCAGGCGGAAGCATCAACAGAGTTCAACTTTCAATTGTTGTCGGAGGTGGGGACGGTGGCTGGGTGCGGGTGCGCGATCTTAACTCCGCCGCCGTGTTCTTTGTGGCGCCCCAACCCCATTTTCTCTCGGAACAAACAACGGACAGAGAACACATCACATCTCTTGTCTCTTGTTTATTTATAAAAATGAGAAAGAAAGAAATTTAGCGACTAGTATAGCCCTCATACATACATATGTACATATGTATGGGTGTACGGATGTGTACGGTTTTATTTAGTATAGGAATGTATATGTACTCGTCCGTCCGTCGTTTATTCTCATTGAAGGAAAAGTTTTTTCCGAAAACGGCTTTTTGGTGTTGGCGGAGGAGCGGCTGCCTTTCATTGGGGCAAATGCCTCTGACGCAGCCGGTTCCAACAGTAGAACGCCAACAAAAAACCGTAGAACATCCGTGCAAATCCAATTTCGTTGTAGTTTACCGAAAAATTATTTTGTAAATTGTTGTGCCATTAATTACCCGAGAACCAAAAAACCAACAAAAAACAAAAACAAATCGACGGACGACACAGTGCACTGATTTGTTGAATCGAATCGAAAGTGCGACAGATTTTCGTTTTCGTTTCGTTCTTCGTTTTTTGTTTATTTTTATTTTTCGGTTATTCTCGGAGTGAAGTGGAGAACGGTATCGCATCCGATTGGGAGGCATGTATCTAAATCGGTTTTAAAACGTATTTCCCAACAATAAACACAAATAAACGTCATATATGTAATTAGAGAGGAGGAGGTGGATTTGTATCAATCAGTAAATTCAATAGGCATTCCAGTAGATATCAGTAAATATATATATATTTAGATAGATGAGTGATATAGTATAAATTGTACTCGTCAACAGCCCCCAATAAGAGATATAATCTAATGAGAGATTATGCGGCATCAGCAGGAAACAATTGGAAACCATCTGGGAATTCGCTTGCGTCTGATCTGATCTGTTCTGATGGGAACCTTGAGTGGGATATGAGGAATATAACCAGATAGACAGACAGATAGACAACCAAATTGCTGTTTGATGGATGGACGCACGAGTATATGTATGTACTTAAGAAAAGGAATTGAAGATTTCAAGATTAAGGAATAGCCGTACCACCTCCTTCTATGGGCACAAAGACATATCTAGGAATATATTTACGAGTAATTATGCAACAAATTTATATAGTTACGGATGTGTGTCTTTACCAGACTTTCCCATTAGCAACGCTCTTCCCTCCCCTCCGCACCCGTGCAATTTCTGGGTAAATATTACACCATGCTCGGATATGGAGGAAGGGAAGAGAAGGGCCTCCTCCATTAACGTACCACTTAGAAGACTGTATTCAATATTGTTTGATTTTTATGACAACAATTGAGTTGTTTACCGACAAGTGTCCGTTTTTCGAGTCAGCTAAGGGCCGATCCGCACGGAAATGGGCAAAAAGTGTAGGTTTTCCCATTGCTAAAACGCAAAATTCATTTGACAACAACAAACAGCAACAAACACGAACGAAAAACTCTATCGATGAAAATGAAAAGTAATTTCTTAAGGCGAATGTATAAGCTATAAACAAATGCGTTATCTGGGCAATACCATCGTACAGATACAGATACGCGTCCATCGTATTGCCACAAATAAACAGTAAGATTGTTTCTGCGTCTGGCGCACTGATTGACTATTGACCACACGCCCAGCGCCTGTCCGTCCGCCGACCAATCGCCTAGATAAAGGGGATTCTAGATCCTAGATAAAGGCTACGGTACGGTAGGGTACGGTTCGGGTTTTTGCGGGTTATTAATAGCCATTTGTTTGCCGTTTACGTCGACGTCATGATCGTTGATTATTAGATGACTTTTGGAAAAGCAAACAGTGAGAACGAACGGTCTTAGCGGTCGATCCGTCAAGAGAGAGCTTTCACTGTACGAAGAGCAGAGCCGATGAGCGCAGAGCAGGGCAGCGCTGCCCGGAGTACACATGTACGTGACACGCACCGGAGATGAGTCGACAGAATGTGAAGTCGATTTGTCCGTCCATCGATTAGAAAGTCCGTTCATCAATGGATCACATGGCTTGCCCCCCCTCCCCACTGCACCACACCACAGGGTGACCATTTCTTCTCAAAGTCAAATAAAGCTTTTTACGTGTGAAAGAGTATGCGTACGAGTGTGGGTATGGACATGGGTATGGGTATTGTAACAAAGAAACCCTCTGCCAGTCGATCAATTGAGTTTTGAAGAGGACACTCCAGACCAGACCACTCCACTCTAGCACGCCCACTCTGATGGCAGATCGAAACTGTTGTCTCTCCAATTAAGCACTGGAATTGGAGCAGAGACCTTATCTAAGCGGTGGACTAATCATATAATCGACGAACAGAAATTCTATTCTCAAGACATACCGAAAAAATCCGCAACTATGAATCATTCCTCTGCCAGATATCCAGAGAGCCCTGTAGAGGGGATGGATGCAAGTAGCAAGAAAAACAGTTTTGCAAAACCCATTTGCGTCATTACGAAAACACTTGTTCTACACTCATGCCGCCCCCTAATGGAAGGGAGGCGTACATACACACTCACACACACACACACACTCGCACAAATAGACAGGTGTACGAGAGTATGTCATTTCTTGTCGTGGCGCCTTGTACCGCAAATTCTTTTCCTATGTATCGATTTCGTCATTTGTGTCGTCGTGTGTTTTGCTTATCAGTGATCTACATGTAGAGAGGGACATTACACACACACACACACACACGCACTCAGTGACACTTTTACACCTTTAGAGCCTTGATCGAGAGACACATCTGCTGTGTCCTTGAGTGCCTGGGATCGCTTTCATTTGGCGGCACAACGTCTACAAGTTCAATTACATTTGAATTCGAATTTAAGATCATTTTGCATTATGCCTAGAGCCTAGACTCTAGAGAGTCGGCAATCGGCTTTGAGCTGCTGCTGCTTGCTGCTTCCAGCGAAGCCGGCGCTGACGCTGAAGCCGACGCTGCGCTGCGCAGCCGTCGCGTCGGCGGTTGTTTTGGCGCAATCGAAAGTTACGTTACGTTTGGGTTTCGGCTTGGAGCTTTGTGTGGACGCGCGCCGCATTAGTCGTACGCTGAGTGTCGGCGGCGTTAGTTCACAGTTATAATTCGACTCTCGAAAACAGTCGCAGGATCCCAAGACCCTCCTCTACAACCGCTTTTGAGTGTCGTAAGTCAAGTCTTATCCTGTCCTGGTCTGATCTAAGCCCCTCTTGGAGTTCGTTTCGTTCAGTGAAAGTCCCCCCCCCTCCACAAACACAGAGATTTTAGTGACTGAAATCCATTCGCCTTGAAGCTGAAAGTTTCCGTTTCAACAAAATTATCATGGATAATCAATTGATTAGTATATATTTGTTTAGTCTGTTGAAACCAGAAATCATTCTTCGATTCCGAGCTGAACGCATTTTGATTTGATGGATAAGTGTCTGTAGAAATGAAAAATGGAAAATGATCGTGTGCCATGCCATGACAATCGAAGCCCGAAACTATTTCTGTTCCCACTCTATCCAGAATTTATTTATAAGCCTTAATTTGTGCAATTAAATTTCAAATTGTTGCCACCGCAAATGATTAAATTAATTAAATTATTAATGGCGCGGGGCAGACACAGACACAGATCAGCAAACAACAAACAGAACACAGCAGATGATTATTGTACTACGAGTATATGTGCATATATCATATTTCAAATACTATATCGTAAAACTCGTATAATACTGCAAATATAACTAAAACCAATACTGAACTGAGCTGAGAGCTCGTGCCCGCATTTCTTCGGTATTTTCGACATGCAACATGCGATGACTCCCACTCTCATTTGCCGATTTCCCCAATATCCCACTTACATTTCCTATTCCTTCGGTCTCCACGATTACGCGACACATTCGAGATACGAGATATACAATGTAGAATGTGGGGGATGTGTGTGTTTACATATGTATGTGTATAATGCCAATGTGGGTATAGTTTTTCGATAGTTATTTGATTCGAATGCAAAGCATGTGGAAGGTGCACATTAAAGATACAGAAACAGTTTGCTGTAGAACGCAGAAAGTGGGATGGGAGCAGTGGGATTCTTAAAATTCCAATCATGAATCCAATCCGCTCCAGTCGATCTGCCTTTGCGAAGAAATCCCCGATCCGCAGGTGTATCTGGACTTTAGCACCATTCCGCCGAAAATCATTCCCTATATCAAGATTCTCTCTTTCTCTAATGATACTCTAAAGGTGTTTTATGTTTTTTCGGGCTATTCAATTTCAAGTGTCTTGTATGTCACGTGCCCGCAATTTTCGGGGCCGGGGGTCTACCTTCCATCTAATTGCCAAACGTGACAGACAATCATCCCTGGGGCAGATAAAATTCCAAACTCCAATTCGAAGAGATAGCAGCCATAGTCCCCGACGAAATTGTCTGCCTGTTGAATGGCCTGTAAACAATCAAAATCTAATTAATTATTACCAAATAAATCAGTGACATCTGAGGCGGGAGCAGCAGCGGCAACAGCGGCAGCTAAAGCTAATGCTTTGCCCTCTGCTGGCTGATAAGAGACGAGACGCTGCTGGCTCTTGAATCAATTAATTAGCACGCGAGGAGAGGCAGTGGCAGCGGCAACTCTCGAGAGTAAGAGAGTAAGCCAGCAGGCGGCAGGCGGCAGGCGGCTGGCGGAGCGGTAGATTGTTGGCCAACAATCGGATGAAGTCGAGCGTGGGGTTGCGGTTGCTGCAACTGGGCCAATATTTTGATGGAATGAATGCATTTGAACAGATGTTTCATGGCCTTTTTACTATTTCCAGTTACCCCACCGCACCGCACCGCATCGGACCCCAACCCCCAACCCCATTATCTTCAAAGACAGAGAGACAGACACAGCATGGACATGAGAATGGAGCTGGAGAGCTATGTGCAGTCGTCGCCAAACACCAATCGATTCGTTGTCGAGGATTCGAGTAAGTATAGAGGCAGAAAGGCCGCCTCTTCCGGCTTAGAAAGTGCGGAAGTGCGTTGCCTCCGGCACTGGCTGCTGGCTGCTGGCTGCAGGTTGCTGGCGTGGGCTGCAAGGTAATAAAACACACACGAAACAACCTGCTGTTTCACGCATTCTGATCATTCGATTCGAGATCATTCGGATCAGCGTCAAGTTGAAGTTCAACGCCAGTTGAACAGTCGCCAGTCGCCGGAGGCGACCCTGAGACGCAAAGCGCTAAACGCATTGCAAAATTGGAGCAACAAATCACTCTCCCCTCTCACTTACACGCTCTCTTCTTCGCTCTCTTTGTGCAGTCACTAAGGTCACGTCGGATGGAGAGCCGCACGGCATGATGACCATGGTGGCGGGTCTGTCCGGCCTACTGGCAGCCATTATCATTCTGGCCGTGCTCGCCTCCATGGTGGCCTGTCGCAAGCAGAAGAGGTAAGAGTTTCGTATACATAATGCAGTCAACAGATTCTCATGCATCCAATGCCCTCCGCCTCGTGCAGCACCACCAGCAATAAAAGCAGCCCAAGCAGCAGGAGGCTGAGCAAGAAATCGATGAACTTGGCCATGACCATTGTCGAGGAAGAGCAGCCGCAGCTGGCGGGCAATCTCAATGCAGCCTTCGTCGAGAGCACCCTGACCCTCCAGGGCCAGGAAAAAGACAAGGAGAAGGACAGCCAGTGGTCCACCACGCCTACGTCCGTTGTGGTGCAGCGGTACTAAATGCAGATGCGGTCTGGATTGCCGTGTGACGACGTGATGTAATGTGAACGCTTGAGACTGAGGCGGCGGTGGCCCCACCGCCACCACATAGATTTATGCATACCATTCATATTATTATTATTATATTTTTTCGTAGTGGTTTGTTTAATTAAATGTATTGTAGAGTATCTAACGACTTTCATTACCCAAAGGAGCATGATAATATATTTCAAATTTGCGGGTAGGAAAAACGACTATTTTTCAAATTCACATTTAAATTATACGCGCCATAAAATTCGGTATTTTTCGTTTTTTTTTGTTGGTATTTTTTGGTATATTTTAAAATAGTCATAATCAATAACCACCACTAGCGATCAGCTGTCGCGATTTATCGAAGCACTGCCATCTCAACAGGGTGCACACAATGGCAACTCTGTGCCAGTAACAGCAGGCAACACACACACAGTTTGACAGTTAACATCATTCTTTATTTTATTTTTTGGCATACTCACGTAGATTAAATTGAAGCAAAATTTTGTATATGCAAAAGGGGACGTAACGTTATTCAATTAAAAGGCATGTGCACGACGCGATTTATTCGAAAAACACTTGAATCGCGGAATTGCGTCGAAAGGGGAACATTACGAAAATGATGTAAAAGAAAACTCTCAAGTAGCGAGCTCCAAAGCACTTCTTATGTGTGTGTGCGCGCGCGAGTGTGTGTGTGTGTGTGTGTGTGTGTGTGGAAATTAACGTAGTGTGAAGAAGTGGAAGAAGGAAAAGCGACAAACGACAACAAAAACAACACAAACGACAATTGCAATCCAAGGCAAACAACAAACAGCAGCAGCAGCAGCGCATCGAAGGCCACACAGTCCCGTGCCCGGAGGACAAACAGGAACCTCGCCTGCCAGCCTCGAATCGTAAGTCAAACCTGTCCCCTATCCCTCGTCCCTCCAGTGGCAGCAACAGCAGCAGAAGCAGCAGCAGCGGCTAGCAATCCTATAAACAAAACAACGCATCGGCAAATCACCACAAACAAAAGACCCAAAAAACAAAAAAAGAAGTGTGTTGTTGTGCCCCGCCATTGAATACAGCGCCAGCGGAAGCGGAGGAAGTTGAATCATCGTGCGGAACTTGTTTCTCCCAACAAATGCACCCTGTACTGGCAGCTGGCGAGTGGGTATGTTGTGTGGTTGTCCGGACACCAGCGACGATCCGATCCGATCCGATCGTCGACAGATCTGTCTGTCCCTACGTGCCGTATCTGGCATTCATGATCGCCTCTGGAATTTCAATTGGATCTTTGGTGTGGGGCTAGGGGTATCCCATGGTCGGCACTTACGGAAGAATAGTTTTATTTTATGTTGCATTGTTCATTGTTGTTGGGCCACCAATAAAACATATATAAATACTATAAAAAAGCCAGACACAAAGTCCAACTAAATTAGGATTCCATCACATGCACACATATACATGTGTACATGCACGTGTTAGTGTTAGTGTGTGTGTGTGTGTATATTTTGTATATATTTTAATTCGAATTCAAGTTTATCAGCGTACGAGTTACGTTCCAATGTAAACAAAGAATTTGCGCCATGCGAGACGATGGGGAGGTGGCAGTGGCAGTGGCTGGCGGCGATATCGGTGGCATTTCCACCTAAGGAAAACATTTGTGCGATTGGAAAAGCATTTGAACTGTGTGCTGGAATTTCTTTACTCAGAAACAGAGGCAGAACTGCAGAACTTCCAGAGGTTCCGTTCCTCAATCGAGATCGTATCGTATTCGAACAGAGCCCCTCCACTGTATCCCCTGTATCGCTCTTTCTCTCTCTCTTTTCTTATCTTATCTGCTTGCTATCCATATTATACGTTCGAGAACCCGGCATTAACCATTAACCCACCCGACTTTTTGGGTCTTGTCTTTGCTTTGCTTCGACAGTTTGTGGCAACGGCAGCCATTTCCTTTGCCTGTACTGTGTGCCGTGTGCCGTGTGCTGTGGGCAGTGTAGACCGACCGGACGATCATGGAGGAGAAGCGCATCGCCGACTATTTTGTGGTGGCCGGAATGCCAGAGCAGCCGCAGCTGCTGCAGGAGAACATATTCAACGATTCGGGACGGCTGAGGGCGGCCAGCACCATCGAACCGATTACAGACATTGGCGTCTTCTTTCCGCTGCTGGGCGAGGAGGTGCCCGAGGGCTATGAGCTGCTCGAACAGACGCCCACCGGCCTACCGGCGAACCTCAATCATGGCTCGGTCCGCACCACAGAGTGTTATATATACTTTCGTCGTGGCAAGGATCGCCCACCACTTGTTGACATAGGTGGGTTGACAATTCCCCCCCCCCCCCCCTCTCACCCCAGAGACAGCTTTTGAGCCCATTTCTTTCTCTCTTAGGTGTCCTATACGATGGCCATGAGCGCATCATGTCGGATGCCGAGATTGTGGCCGAAACACCAGGCGGACGTGTGGCCAATGTGAACAATTCGTCGGCAAAGACCTTCCTCACGTATCGTCGAGCACGCGGCGACATGCCCTGCAACGAGCTGGTGGTCACCGAACTCTGCGTCATCGTCCAGAGCAAGGGAGAGCGGGCGCCGCACGCCTTCTGCCTGATCTACAAGACTTTGAACAAGGGCTATGTGGGCAGCGACGTCTATCTGTGCTACAAGAAGTCCATGTACCGCCCGAAGCACATCAGCTACAAGCCGGAGATCCTGCTGCGCTATCCCACAGTCGACCACAACGATTTCCCCCTCAATTTGTGCCCCAGCGTGCCGCTCTTCTGCCTGCCGATGGGCGCCTCCCTGGAGGCCTGGCCCCACGTCAATGGCTCCGAGAAGCGCAAGCCCATCAGTCCGGTGTTCAGCACCTTTGTGCTGACTGTCAGCGATGGTACCTACAAGGTCTATGGCTCGGCCCTCACCTTCTACGAGGATTTCGAGTGAGTTCTCTCAAAGCTGGTTTCTCTTCGACGGTTTTGATCCTCTGTTTCTGTTTCCGCTTTTAGTGAATCGCAGCTGTCCGCAGAGCAGCGGGAGCAGCTCGGATGGGATGAGGAATTCGGTGCGCAGCATTCGCTGCACATGATCAAGGCGATCTGCCTGCTGTCGCACCATCCCTTTGGCGACACCTTTGACAAATGGCTCAAGTATCTGCATGTAAGTGGGATTGACTTTCCTTTTGATCGATGAAGTAATCCTTGGTCTCCCCTGGATTTTGCAGCGCATGGTATTGTATGGCGTCAATATACCCATACCCGTGGAGCGCTACATAACCCAACTGCTGGACGAAGTGCCCTTCCCTGCACCGAGCATACATCTGCAGCTGTCCAGCGAGTCGAATGATCGGATATTGCTCACCCAGCCGGAGGATTCGCCCCTGCCACGCAGTGGCGCTGGCTTCCACATGCTGCTGCAGAATCTGGGCACCGACAATTGTTTGCATGTGCTGCTGCTGGCCCTCACCGAGCAGAAGATACTCATACATTCACTGCGACCTGCCACTCTGACGGCCGTGGCCGAGGCCATCGTTTCGCTGCTGTTCCCGTTCAAGTGGCAGTGCCCCTACATACCGCTGTGTCCCCTGGGCCTAGCCGAGGTGCTGCACGCCCCGCTGCCGTATCTGATTGGCGTCGATTCGCGTTTCTTTGACCTCTACGAGCCGCCCACGGATGTCACCTGCATTGATCTGGACACCAACAACATAAGCGTATGGTTGATATTATTTTCTGACAAATATTTGACTCTAAGCAATCTCTTCGCCCCTCCCCATTTTCAGTTGTGCGAATCACAGCGCCATTTGTCGCCGAAGCTGCTGCCGAAGCGTGCCGCTCGACTGCTCCGCCAGACGCTCACCGAACTGGAGAATGCCAAGCCCATAAGCTATGACTCGACCAACAGCCTGGACCGTGACATACGCAAGCGGAAGCGGGAGCTGGTGCTGGAGCAGCGCATCCAGGAGGCCTTTCTCCTGTTCATGGCCTCGATATTGCGTGGCTATCGGGACTATTTGGTGCCCATATCGAAGGCACCATCGGTGGGGGCCACCGATCCGAGTGCCTTATTCCAGCTGAAGGCCTTTCTGCGTTCGCGCGATAAGGTAACGAGTTCTTTTGCGTGTCGTTGATCGACGGGAAGACATCTCTCTGAAACATCCTCTGTTTGTAGTCGCACCAGAAATTCTTTGAGCTGATGATGAAAACGCAGATGTTTATACGCTTCATTGAGGAGCGATCGTTTGTGTCCGATGGCGACCATGGGCTCAGCTTCTTCGATGAGTGCGCCGAGAAGGTGGGCAACTACGACGAGACGCCCGCCCAGCTGCATTTGGTGGACTGGGACACGGGCCAGAGCAGCGAGCGAACCAAGTATATTTTCCCCCCAGACGGCGTGACCTTAGCAGGATCAGCAGCAGGAGCAGCAACGGGAGGGGCATCAATCAATGGGGCGGGGGCATACACCTACACCTACAAGAACTTTACGCTGCAGCCAGAGCTGCTGCAGACCAGCCGAAAGACGACCATGTCCAAGTTCCTGCAGCTGCAGCTGAACGCCTCGCTGTCGCCGGGCTCCCCGATTGCGCGCCGCACCAAGCACGAGGTGAAGCTGTCGCAGAAGATGGCCAGCCGCTGTCAGCAGCATCCGGAGGCGTGGTCCAAGTACCTGCTGGCCACCTGCTACTCGCTGTACTTCCTCATCCTGCCCTCGATGGTGATCGATCCGAGGCATGCCGGCAAGGAGCACGACATCCTGCGCGCCGCCTACGATGTGCTGGTGCGGGCCAGCAAGCTGAAGATCACCTGCGACGAGTTCTGCTACCGCATCATGATGCAGCTGTGCGGCATCCACAATCTTCCGGTGCTGGCCGTCCGGCTGCATTATCTGATGAAGCGTTCGGGCGTCCAGCCGAATGCCCTCACCTACGGCTTCTACAATCGCTGCGTCCTGGAGTCGACGTGGCCCAGCGACAGCACCACGCTCAGCCAGATCCGATGGAACCGCATCAAGAACGTCGTTCTGGGCGCCGCCCAGTTCCGTCGAGCGGGCAAGCAGCGGGCCGCCGCCAAGGTGTGCAAGTCCCTGAGCACCTCGCACGACCACAACCTGAGCACCCTGAGCACCCTGGAGACCGTCGACGGGCACCAGTCGCGCACCAGCCTGGCCTCCTCCTCGGGCGACACTCACGGCGGC